CCCCCCCCCCCGTCCCTTTATTTGTTGACCGACGTCTTCCTGCCTTTTGTGTTCTTGGTTGTTCAGAAGTTGTGTGTTTGTTTGGGAAACAGCCCTCCGTGTTTGCACTGGGACCTGCAAGTACTCCACACCACTAGTGCGGGCAAGAAAGCACGCGAAACCCCACACCGCGACCTCAAGCTCGTGGAGAAGAGGGACGGCAAAGGGGAATTCCAGGTCTGTGATCAGCAGAAAAACAAGGACTTCACGACTTGCCAGACCTCGTGCACCGTTCTGAAGACGAAGCCCAATCTATGTCAGCTCTGCCTAGTGCCTGCCGGGGACACTCCATCCATGTGGTGTCCCACGGAAGACACGCACGGCCACGGCAGAAAGGGTGAGACCTGTGCGCTTGGGCAAGCGCACAGGTCTCACCTTTAGGCGGTGACTGTGAGTGTCTTCCGCGGGACACCCAATGGATTGGGTGTAAGCGCACAACTGACAGAGCTTGGGGTTCGTCTTCGGAACGGTGCACGAGGTCTGGCAAGTGGTCAAGTCGTTGCATTTCTGCTAATCACAGGCCGCGAAATTCCCTTTGCCGTCCCGCTTTCCCGCGAGCTTGAGGTGGCCCTCGCAGTCCAATGCAGGGCACGGCCAAGCGGGGTTGCCCTTTTCGTTGGCGTATTAGGTGCGGGGGACGTGGCTTACCGACGAAAAGTTCTACCACTTTTACTGTATACGCGATGTGTACAATATTGTATCTCTGTGCAATGCACTTAGCGCCACCCCCTGCAGCCCCAACCAGAAACGTCGTTCACACGCGATCAATAGCGGTGGAGCGGCCAAATTTTTCATCATTTCAGCACAGAAGTTCAACCACCTCCATCGCAATTTAGGTTCAGAAGAAAACACTTTTAGTTGAAGAATTATTCTTTTCGAAAAATTCTTCGAACGAAGAGTAGCATACGTTAAACATTCAAGAACGATAATTATTCATCCGGCAACCTATTTCCAACCACCCAGGTGCCGCACCCGCCACCTGCTTACACACATGAACCAATTGTCGCGCTCATCTCCTGCGAAGCGCAAACCCGCGGCCGACAAGAAGTTCGAGTCGGTGGCCTTTGTTCAAGATGACATATTTCCTCTCATGGACATTCCATGTTCTATACACACATGTACATATGGCAATGTTTTTGCATCGAATTTCTTTATGTTTTTGGTGTTCTTGTTTTGCGGATATCCGGGCCACGGCGATCACACGTGACAGCATCTTGTAGATATAGGTAGGAAGTAGCTTCACAAAGCAGCATCATTGAAAACGAGGGCCGCTGGGTATGTATACGGTACAGAAAGCGAAGCACAAAAAATATGTGTGAGGCTGTGACACTACGGTTGGAGTCTTGGGTCTATTTCCGCAAGCTCACGTCGTCAGCGGGTGTCGAAAATCGCGAAGATGCTGTTCTCCGCCGAACGCTCACCCAATTCAAGGTCTGTTTCTTTGAGAACGAACAGGTTCTCCGTAGAATCCCGGGATGAGATGAGAGGCAGCCCAGCAGGTCGAGATTTGGTCGTACTTGGAGGTGCCGTAAAACCGTGGGCGTGCGACCGTCGAGCCCCCGCTGCAGGGAGGTCGCGATGGTAAGACTCTTCCGGTCGGCACCGCGAAGAGGAGAAGTTGATGAGCATCCCCGCGCGGGCCAGCGGACGTGCCGACGCTAACGTCTTGAATTGAGGCGGGGCACTCTAACCTCCCGATTCGCTCGCAGCGCTCGGGACTGTGACGCGGGGCACTCTAATTCCTGCATAAGTTGGAAGATCCGCTTTAGCTGCAGTGAATGTAGCTTTATGTTTTCCTGTTTCACGAATAGGACGATTCATCTCTATTCACAGGTACCTTGTTGTTTGTCTTCTTTTGGACGGTGGCGTGCGGGCCCTCATTTCGGGAAGATTGCGAGACGGTTCATGCACGCGAATCTTGTGTCACATCTCTACCCACTGATAATGGTGTGAGACGAGTCGGGTCTGAGGTGAATCCAGTGCATCTAACCTCGGTTAGAAATTTCTTCGAATCCTCCCCCGGTTCGATTTTGCTTGCAGGTCCTCGGAAGCGAAAAGTTGCAGGAAGTGGCCCAGAAGCTCATGGACCACCACGCGAAGATGACTAACATCTTCAAGGAGATGTACGGGGACGTCAGGTCAGTGTCGCCCCGCCTCCCCACGTTGTTGTTGCCCTCGAGTCCGGCTTGTGCGCTTAGGCGTGTCCTCTATAGTGTTTCTCGGCACGGATCTGTCCAGCACACTTGGATGTAGACCCTTTCCCGTATGGTGGTGTCCTTAATGCTCTTGTTTTTGGTCAAGCATGTGCTTGTCTTTTCGGCAAACAATATGCTCGGAAACTTGCTATTTACGCTGTTTTTATGCTAGGTTTTGGCTAGCTTCGGCGTGGTTTCTATGCCTTGTACGCCAGAGTCTAACGGGCAAGGGCCTATTTGGATTGCTTCAAAAACGGTCCGGGGTTTCCAAATCAAGAAAGGCCTCCGCCGTGTTATTTCTACGCCTGGTCTGTTTTTTTTTTGCTCCTTGTTGCGGGCAGAGTGGCGGAAACGCATGGCCATGTTGAAAGGTCGAAGAACGTCGGAATCACAACGTTAGACGCAGTGAGCAGTATCCCGAGAAAGAGCGTGCGCTCGAGACTGGAATGGGGTCGATCGGTGCCACTTGCGGTGAATATGGCTGAATGAAACAGCGGCGGAAAACACTCGCAGCAGCAAGGACGGGATCAAGTCATCGTGGGCGTCGCCCGCCTTCAAGTACAAGTAGAGGAGTGCTACAAGGGAAGTATCATACGAAGCATAGCTATGACACAAGCACGAAGAGCCCCCGACTGCAACGTCGATAGTGAGCAGGAACTACACTCTGTATCGAAAAGGGGTTCCGCGTGGTGGTTGATGACACCCTCCCCCCCCTTCCGACAGATACGGCCTCACGGACGTGCCCAAGGACTCCTGCTTCCTTCGATCCAGACCCTACCTCGACCTTGTCGAGAGAACCATGTCGCAGCTGGTTGAGTGGGGCAGCGTCCGCCCCAGCCCTGCCGTTGCCGTGGACGGGGCGGCGGCGGGCGGGGGTCAAGCGGCGGCGGCGGCATCGCGTACCCCTTCCTCGGGGTTCGGGGGGGCAGCCGCGGCTTCCCCAAAGAAGGGCGGGGGGGCGAAGAAGAAGAAGTCGAAAAAGAAATGAAGGAGCCCCGCCTCTTGCTGTAGAATCCGCACCGTGTTTCTGGCATGGTTGTTGTCTCGCTTCTTCAAGGCCTTGCTTGTTTTTTTTTTTTCTCACCGCTTGATTGTCTGTGTCTGCTGTATAGAGAGTGGGTCGGGGGATCGATGTCAGTTTTTTTTTATCGAGTGGTATGCAGCAGGTGGTGTATGGCCGATGATGGCAGAGGTTGGACGTTGTAATAATGGTGCAGCCCATTGGATTCGGTCAAGCCTTCATAGGAAGACCCAGGTTCCGTGGTCGGGGTTGCTTTTGGGTGGATGTTGGCAGCAGGGCATGCTTTGTTGATTAGACTACTCTACGAGTATAGCACCATTGCTTGAAAACGCCCCGGTATGCAGCAGCTTGTTAGCGCCCGCACGTTGGAACTTGCCAGATGAGGAATTGAGCCTCGAAAAAACAAAATCAAAGCACTTGAGTACCATTTTTGTGAGCTTTGAGAACCCCTTACTCGAACGGCCATTCGTAGCATGGACCCGAGGGACTAAGAACCTTAGCCTCGGCCAATAGTACAGTTTCTGTGCGGGCGCTAACTGTAGAGCATAGATAGTTCGCGGCGCTCCAATCTGGAAATACGAGTTCCCCCCACCAAGTACAAGCACTGCAACACGCATGTATGTAGGGCCTATCAGACTCCCGACGAACCTGCCTCGACATGCTGCTACTGCTGTAGCACCCTAGCGATCAGCAATTTACAAGGCGCACACCCCTTGGCAATCTGGCGTACCTTCCATCGAGCATGCAGCTACACTGATTGTACGTAGCCTTGGCGTGTCCCTTGCCTTCTGAGGGCAGTGAGTCAGGATGGTATCAGTAGTAGCGCATGGCGGCGCAAGTACCATGCGAACCACGAGCGCCTCATCGCACCCAACTAGCAGGACGCCGTGTTGCATCACCGATGGAATCGGCACTCTAAGGTCTACTACGGCAGTAGATTCTAGATAGGTTCCGTAGACTGCTGTAAATGCTGCTGAAGGCTATGTGACCGTAGTACATACTTCACGTCGTTGTTCGTGTGACGCGATAGAGGCTGGTGAACCCCAGACCGGCCTGGCCGCAAGGTGTTTGAAGCGTGGGCAAGGGAGGTCTGCACAATTTCACATGCTACATGTTTCATAGATGGAGGATGGGTGGTGACGTCGGCGGAGATGCGGGTTTTCGCTTCAGATATACCGTGTATGACACGAGATAAGACACCCCCTGGACCGATTTTCAAATATTGATTTCTCAACAACAAAAAGAGTCACGGTGCCGAAAACGGCGGCGTTGGAACCGCCTTGTCAAGGGATTTCTAACACTGTATCGTTTCGTTTATTCATCCTCTTGGTCGTGGAGTAATCGAGCGTTGAAAGTTGGTCCAGGGGGTGTGTTATCTTGTGTCATATACGGTAGTCTGCTGCATGTTCCGCCGTTTCGCCGTTTGGATACTGTAGCTCCGCCAGGGTGGGAGGGAGAGAGGGGTTCAGCAGACGAACGACGGGATGAGGGTTCTTTGATGCGTTCACATATCTACACAACTTGCTTTGTATTGAACCAGATCGGCTCAGAGTATTTGCATCACGAGGCGAGAGAAGCGGCGTATGGTTGGTTTCTTGGTTGTTCACTGCGGGCGCCGTCGCTATTCTGCCGGCAAACCACACGCCCCAAGAAGCGGAATGGCGGTTGCAACCAGATTATTCAGGATCCAATTCCGCCGAACATGAATTTTTAGACTACTACGGTAGACCGGATTGGTAGCCGCCACGTATGGCCCTCACCACGAGAAGTGGGAGGATGCACGCGTGCCATGGTACCGCTGTATTGCTCAGTCCAGGTTGCCTGTACTCGACACTTCGTCGTGCCGGCAAGAGCACGCTGTATCTTCCCCGTGTTAGACCTCAGTTTTGCGCCGTTGTTTGGTTACACACATGATGACCGGTCGCCCCGGTGGTCTTGTGGGTAGCCTCGCAGCCTGCCAAGGGCCAGGTCATGGGTTCGAGTCCCGGCAGAGTGAGTTTTTTTCTCACTAAATAAATCCTGGTCTAGGATGAAAGCGACGCGCTGCAAAGTTCGTTGTTAGTAAACCATAGATTAATCGACTTCGTAAGTCGCGAGGGAAGGGATTGCTGTACCCTTCTCGCTATAAAAATACCTCAGGCAGGAACCGCAGGAGGGGGTCCAGCCCCCCCCTCCTATATATGTGACCCCGGTTGGGTCGTCTAGCTAGTAGAAGTGGAGGATTGGGGCCAGAGGGGCAGACGACAGAGTCCAATGATGCGACAGAAAAAAAAAAAAGTCTATGCAGCAGCACCACGAAATCAAGACAAAGAGAGGGTACCGCCGCGCGAACACACGCAAGCGCCAAATCGGCGAAAGGATCGAGTGTACATGAGGTGACCTTAGAGACAGTTCCCGCCACTTGCTGTTGGTGGAGATGGTGTTGTCCCTGGGTTGTCTCGCGGCATCTCAATGTGCTTCAGTCGCTCCCGAAGCGAGGTGAAAAATGGTGTCCTTTCGCAGCCCGTGTGCCTCCTTGCGCCACTACCGGGTGTAGATGTTTCCGCTTGCCGCGTATCCACTCTGCTCTCGAGCACTATTTCGCTACGTATTAGTGGCCAACGTTTTTGTCAACAACCGAAGCCGCGGGCGTGCAGAGTGTGTACTGCGGGATTGATATAGACTCTATCCTGGTGCAGTGTGTATTTCTTGTTGTGTACAGTAGGCTCAGATCTGAACTTTTGCTGCGATGGCACCGTCGACGATTTGATGTCTTTGATCGAGAATCGAGGAATGAATTCGGTCCGAGATGCAACACTGTACGATAGGTGTAGCCATGGTCGTGATGATGCCAACAACGTTAGCGTCCAAACACCCCCATCGGCTTCATCCAAACAACAACCGCAGCAAGAGCAGGTGTTCCACCTACACCCACAGTATCTCCAAATGCACAAGAAATCCAAGAGAAGGAGGGTCCCTAGTTGACATTCAATGCTAACTTCATGCACCTCTCCGGACATCAGAGTGGGTTTGGAAACGTACTTGCCGCAATTGTCAACTCTGACTGTAAAAGAGCCAGGACAGGGTTACGGACGCAGCTACGCCTCAGTATGCCGTATGGGGAGCATTCGCATGACGTGCGCCAATGGCTGCNTTGTACCGGCGTCTTAGCGGCGAGTACGTCCGCGAGTCAGTTGCGCAGTCGTCTCGAAGAAGTTACCTGTCGGGTTGGCGGGCTTGGTGTGCTTTTCGCCGCATGTTTGGCGAGTCGGAGTACCTCTCGGTGGATGTGGATGGTGCTGGGCTGGAACAAGCACTTTTGGAGTTTGTGGCGTGGTGTTGTGCAGATAAGGGTAACATTGCACCGACTATATCCGGCAAGCTCGCCGCGGCACAGTACTTTCATCGAGTCGACAAGCAGCTTGAGTTGCCTACCGGTGCGCCTCTTATCAAATGGAGTTTGTTGGGTGTCGCACGTGTTAACGTTCGAGCGGGTACGAAGAGTCGGACTCGTGTTCCCGTCTCGTGGGAGATGTTGTTGGAAGGACAGCAGTTGACGGCGTCGTGGGGTACAGGTGGCCGCGTGTTGTGGCTGTGTTTGGCGTTATCGTACTTCCTGGTGGCGCGTTCACATGAGGTTTTTGCCACCCTGTCGGGACAATGCCACCAGGTGCATTGTTTGCGGCGTAGCGACGTCAAATTCTTTGATGGGGAGCACGTGCTCGCCCCGTTGAACTGGCACAAGGCCACAGGAGTTCGGGTTCGGTTTCGCGCCACAAGGGGAATCAATCGGAGACGGGGGCGTGCGTTACACGGGGGCGCGATGTAGCACGAGGCGCGAGCTCTCAGATTGGAGCCGGTGGCGGTGCCGTGGCGGTGTTGGTGGAATTGATGGCGTGCCATCTCGCTTTACCTGAGATCGCCCCTCTGTGCTCGTTTCGCTGTAGGAGGAGCAATACGGTTAAGGTTTGGGGATACTCCAAAGCTCTTAGCGCCCTTCGCCAGGTTGTGGAGAAGGCAGGTGGCGACCCGAGACAGGTTGGCTCGCATTCGTTGAGAATCGGGGCCGCCACCACGTTGGCAGCAGGAGGAGACGTACCGGACAGAATTATACAGAGAGAGGGTAGATGGAAGGAAGGTTCGGGTACGTTCAAAATATGTACTAGGAATAATATGGTGGACGTAGACATGGTATCCCGTAAACTAGTGAAGAGNTACGGTTAAGGTTTGGGGATACTCCAAAGCTCTTAGCGCCCTTCGCCAGGTTGTGGAGAAGGCAGGTGGCGACCCGAGACAGGTTGGCTCGCATTCGTTGAGAATCGGGGCCGCCACCACGTTGGCAGCAGGAGGAGACGTACCGGACAGAATTATACAGAGAGAGGGTAGATGGAAGGAAGGTTCGGGTACGTTCAAAATATGTACTAGGAATAATATGGTGGACGTAGACATGGTATCCCGTAAACTAGTGAAGAGGAAGAAGACGGAGCAGAAGAAGGGTTAGCATACACGAAGGTACGGGCAAGGGGACAGAATGCCATCCCACTAAACGTCGATGTTGGTGGATGTCAATGGTATGGAGTACCATTGGGGGTCTCGGTGTACTGAGACGGCATTTTGTTAGGGCCTGCCAGTTGACATGGAAGGGGAACTTGGACTCTGGAGGAGAGAGGGAAGCGACCGGTGTCGTCCCCTCGTGATTGACCAGAGAGTTACCTTCCAGACTTCGTGGAAAATAATAACAAAAATGCCACTTCGGAAAAATAAAATAATGCGAGTATTTCAGATGGATCCAACCTCAGGGGGGAGGAGTCTGAAATTGGTGTTTGTTGAAGTTGATGAGAAGTGAGCATTTACATTATGTGCCAAAGAGGATATCTGCGGGCGTATAGAAGAGGAGGCATGCGCGCCGAGAGAAGGCAGCTGCTCGTAGGACATTCCGTTTGCGCCCGATCACGTTGAAGCATTGTCAGTGCTGGAGCACAGGGACTGCTAAACGTACGAGTGGAAAACACTGCCAGCTACTACCTGTTAAGACGTTCTGTTTCGGGGAGCTAGTGTTGTCGTCTTTCCCACCCACGCCACCCTCGAATTTTATCCGAAAGAGGGGGGGGGAGGGGAGGGCGATAACTAGGGTATGTGTACCGGGAGGATACATAAATTGGGGACATGTCGATTTATGATTGCTATTATTCCACGGGGAACTGGGTTATGAGGGTCCGATTGGGGAGGTGGATGTCAATGGTACGGAGTACCATTGGGGGTCTCGGTGTACTGAGACGGCACTTTGTTAGGGCCTGCCGGTTGACATGGAAGGGGAACTTGGACTCCGGAGGAGAGAGGGAAGCGACCGGTGTCGTCCCCTCGTGATTGGCCAGAGAGTTACCTCCCAGACTTCGTGGAAAATAATGATATAAATGGCAATTCGGAAAAATACAATATATATATGGGGTATTTCAACGAGAGCGAACACTATATACTATAAGAGAGCGAAACCATGAGGAACACATTGGGGTGCCTGAGTTTGGGGGGCGGTGGGGCCGTGTTTGTCGCACCGCAGACGAAGACACCCCGCCAGATGTATGTGTTGGAGTTTTTACGGAAGTTGAGATACAAGACGAGAGCATACCGCAGTGTGTCTTGAACCGATGGTTGCCAAGAGGCCAGGGTAAACACGTGTTTTGGGCCACGCATTCACATACACAAATCTGGCCGGCACAACGATCGTGGTCAACAAGAAGCGAACTCACGCACATTGTTTCCAGTGCGTGCCCCTGAGGGTAGGAAGCTCCTGAAGCGTAGTCTATTACTTGTCCCCAGCTTACTGTAACGCAGCGCCTCACTATTCTCCACCTTTTGCCACGCTTGCGGCGGCTCAGATCTGAACTTTTGCTGCGATGGCACCGTCGACGATTTGATGTCTTTGATCGAGAATCGAGGAATGAATTCGGTCCGAGATGCAACACTGTACGATAGGTGTAGCCATGGTCGTGATGATGCCAACAACGTTAGCGTCCAAACACCCCCATCGGCTTCATCCAAACAACAACCGCAGCAAGAGCAGGTGTTCCACCTACACCCACAGTATCTCCAAATGCACAAGAAATCCAAGAGAAGGAGGGTCCCTAGTTGACATTCAATGCTAACTTCATGCACCTCTCCGGACATCAGAGTGGGTTTGGAAACGTACTTGCCGCAATTGTCAACTCTGACTGTAAAAGAGCCAGGACAGGGTTACGGACGCAGCTACGCCTCAGTATGCCGTATGGGGAGCATTCGCATGACGTGCGCCAATGGCTGCCACAACAACTGGCCCATCTAACTGGACGTTGTCGGTGCCTTCCTGAACGCCCTCTGCGACAGAGATGTGTACATCAGACCCGCCCCCGGTACATTCTCCAAGAACTCCGCGACGGGAGAACCCATGGTGTACAAACTAGAACGGAGCCTCTACGGCCTATCGCAGTCGCCGGCGTTCTGGAACGACATCCTGGACGAGTCTCTCACGGTGTATGGATGGAAAAATGACTCAATCCGACCCCTGCGTGTACGTGTATACCAGCGGCAACATCATCGTGATTCTCACGGTCTACGTAGACGACATTTCATCACGGGAGGAGACCAGCAGCTCGTGGACCAGAAGAAGAAGGAGCTCACGGATCGATTCGAGATGACCGACATGGGAGAGGTAAAG